TGAATAGTGTTATAATTTAGAAACTGGAATTCTGTAGTAATTTCTCTATGTCACTCTGAAGGCCCCCTTTGTTTTTAGCATTCTAATGAGTCCTAACTACATTCCGTGACAGCTACCTTTTAGGGAGGCATTGGTTGTAGAGGAAGGCAATGGGGGGGAGAGGGAACCTTGCGGTTTTCCAGCTTTCTTTGTGAACACAGCAATGCTTATTAGCATGCGTGTCACACAATTTCCATGATAATGCTATCATTTTAAACACTCTGAGTTAAAGACCTAATAGAGGAGGTTAGTCTTGCTTTCTCAATTTGCTACACAGATTGCTCGTCTTTCTTTCCCCATCAATCTTCCTTTTCCTAAGCAAAATGTAAAATTTGGACCAAAGAATGGAAATACCAAGGTTTGGGCTGAGCTGATCTTATTAACATTATCCTGCTGTTCACCAACAACATCATAAGTATTTTCATCCTGGTTCTAAGCATGTATATGGGAAAGAAAATCCTCCAGTCACTTTCAAACTTCTGAGATTTGGGGAGCAAATGGGGCAAATTATCCAATGATAATTTAATAAATCATCATGCCCCCAAAACCTTCGCTGAAGTCATTTAGTGTTGATTACCTTGATTAATGACTAAATATTTGTAGCTATATTTGAAATCGATGGCTAGAACCCCTGCCTTCCCGTAGTGGCATGAACGAGAATGTATATATGCGTAATGAGCTTCGAGGCAGCAAGAAACCAGGGATGGGTCCAGGCCCGGTGAAATGGGGGTCCTCCCAACACTGCTGAAGCCCGGCCAAATGGTTCCCTGGATAAGCCACAGCATGGACCATATTGTGAACACCGTGGGTGTGCATAGTGCCTGGAGAAGAGTGAGAGGTGATCCGTGCCTCCTTCCTCTCAGGCTTGGTCAGGCACCACCATTTTGCAGGCTGGTCCCTCACTCTCCTTCCCTCTGGGAGCTCCAGGGTGGTTCCTGGCTCTCACGAGCGTGGTCAGAAAGCACTGTGGAAGTTGAGTTGCTCCAGACAGGAAGACTGGCTAAGGCTGGAGGTGACCAGGCCCAGAGGAGGGCAAATCTAGTTTCCATTCACTGAACCAAGTGAATAGAACCAGGTCAAGATAGTGTTGTTGCTGTGTAACCAACTACCCCCAGATGTGCTGGAGGCAGGACAGGTTCCCCTGAGATGGAGAAGAGTGTGCCGGATGTTTATTAAGAACTGCCCTTAGAACCAGAATATGGAACAGAGGGGAAGGTGCAGTAGTGGGCAGAAGAGGCCGTGCTGCCTTGCCCCAGTGACAGCCCCAGCTGGCCCAACAGAAAGTTCTGAAGGGCCCTTAGAGTTGGCTCAGGTTGGACTGAGATGAGCTGGTCTTTATATCAGGGTAGATAGACTACAGCCCCTGAGCCAAATCCAGGTGGTCACTTGTTTTTTTGTTTTTTTTGTTTTTTAAGATTTTATTTATTGGACAGAGAGATCACAAGTAGGCAGAGAGGCAGGCAGAGAGAGGGGGAAGCAGGCTCCCTGAGCTGAGCAGAGAGCCCGATGCGGGGCTCGATTCCAGGACCCTGAGATCATGATCTGAGCCGAAGGCAGAGGCTTAACCCACTGAGCCACCCAGGCACCCCAGTCACTTGTGTTTAAATAAAGTTTTATTGGAACACAGCCACAACTCTTCATTTATATATTATCTAAGGCTGCTTGCACCTTATTGGGGCAGAGTTGAGTAGTTGTGGCAGAACTCTATGGCCCCCAAAGCCTGAAATATTTATATCCAGCCCTTTATAGAAGTTTGATCAACCCAGCTGTATGTTCCTACACTCAGCAGCATGACCTTGGGCGGCAGCTTGCGGCAGAGGCAAGCCCTGAAATGCCTCCAGTCATCAGGTCGCAGGTCCTTCCTCCACGGGGAGCATGGGTGGTTCTCACGGTGTCCACCCTAGCAAATTAAATTGACCATTTTATTTTGCAAACAGTTTTGTGAGTCAGGAATTCTGGAAGGACTCAGATGGAGTCTGACTTTCATGGCATCAGCTGGATGAAAGTATCCACTCCCAAGATTTCTTCCTTAGCTCAATGCTCCTCGGCCTCTTTTCTCTCTTCCAGGGGTGTCCCATCCTCTAGGGTTTCTTCATACCATAGGGTGGTTTGGGGATCATGGCACCTCTTCATGAGGGCTTCAGCACGTGGTAGACACAGGACTACACCGAAGCCGGCACAGAATCACTCCGCTGTGTCTTACATGGCCGTGGGATCTGCCGGGATTCAAGATGGCGGAGCCCCAGAGGCAAAACCCCATCTCAGAAGCACATGTGGCAGGACGTGCTGTGGCACTGTCCTTGGAAGATAACTAATGCTTCAGTGGCCTAGGTGGCTGGCTTACCCAGGTTACGGAGTTCTTGGTGCTTCCCAACCCCACGGTCAGTGTCATTCCATGGGTGGCTTGAAATGGCCATGAGAGGGATAGGACACCCTGGGAATGGAATGGACTGGGCCTTGCCCCTGCCCCCAGCCCCAGAGAGCCCTTTGGGAGTTATGGGCCAGCACACCACTGCCTCTGCGGGAGGCTTTCAGTTTGAAACCAGATGAGAACAGAAACAGTATTTACTGAGCCCCAAGGGGCTCTCCAAACCATGGTACCTCAGAACAGCTCTGTGGTGTGCGATGGTCCCTTATTTGATGGAAGAGGAATCCCAGGCTCAGCGAGGCTGGGTAATGGGGCAGGTGGCATGGCGTTCTACAGGGACAGTAGTGTCCCTCCTTCGAATGGCACCCATTCTGCTTACTGACCTCAGCCTCCTGCCGGACTTGCCAGTCTCTTCAGGTATATTTATTATCTTTCATTGGTCAAATCCTAAGTCTATGGACTAAGGTCATATCCTAAGGCCTAAGTGCTAGGCTACCTGTTTGGTGAGGAAATGAGGCCCAGCCTGAAGGCATAAGCTTCCAGCTGCAGAGTGAAGCTGTGTCCTGGGTACACCGACTCTGGGCCTTACCCCACCACACAGCCCACGGTGGTGTGGGCCACCTAAGCCCGGCTGTGCAGGCCAGAGAGTAAGGAAGCACCCGAAGATTAGATAGAGCATGGTTCCCAAAATTACTTGATTCATCATTTCCCATTTTTCTCTCCTTTACCCCGCCCTCTTGAGTTGAAGGAATCCTTCTCCCTGATTTGTTGGTTTTAAGAGGAATAAGAAGACAGAAAACTGAGGAGTGGTGGGCACCCACTGCAGAGTTCATGGCCAAGGGCTCCGTGGAGAGGATAGGGCAGCAAGGCTGGGAGGGTGCAGAAAGGGAGCCCCCCGCCCCTGCGAGAGTGTGGGGGTCACCTGCACGCCTCTGTGGCCGGGGCTTGTGGAGGGGTGTTTCCTGGCCTTCCTGGCTCGCTCAGGCTCTGGGGCACATGGCAGATCTGTTGGAGCTCTCTGCTCGGGTCCCAACAGTCACCTCACCTTCCGGATAAACATCCAGATGTTAAATATCAGAGGGAGACCGTGCATCAGGAGAATGCAATGAAAACTTTCACAAACGGTCCTCACTTTTGAGTGTGCTGAGAATCACCTGGGGCGCTGGTTAGCTATTCTGCGTTTCCCAGTCCCCACTCTTGGGAAACTCTCAGGCAGGAGGCCAGAACGGACGTCGGGAGTCTGTATTTTTAAAATACCTCAAGCAATCCTGATGCTAGTGGGCCTGGGGCCAGGCTAAGAAAAACAACTTAGAGAGTGAAGGGGCAGGATCTGACCCCTTTCTTGAAGACGTCGGCTTTCTGGTCATTGGAGTTTAATCTCGTAAGCACCGGTTGTCTTTGGATGGGGAAGTAGTAGGTATGTTCACGGAGCTGTCTTGCCAAAAGAAAGATAATGAACACAGCGTTTATGTGCATAATTGCAGTTAATTATTATGTTGTGCATGTATGGGTAAACTTGAGAAAAGATGAACTTATAAAAACTCTTATTAAAAGTTCCCTGTTATTTGCCATTAATTACTACTGTGGATTTCTAAGGGGAGTTTGTTCACTTAGCCACTGGCTAACAAAGTTTTGAGCTCTTGCTGTGTGTCTGGCTTCATGAGTTTCATGAGAAGCTTCATGCCTGTGTGAAGACCAGGGGACAGCCATGGGCTGACCTCTGTCCATCAGGGGGTTTACAGTCTGCCCAGGGAGAGGGATTCATAAATCCCTAAACAACGTCATACATTTCAGATTTGCGTAGGTTTATTCTTATTCGTAAAAGTATTTGTAAAATGCATTACTAAATGCGCTTTATTAATAAATATACAAAGATTTATATATAAACAGGTACAAGACAACAGTAAAAAAATCTCCATAGGCTGTATATTGTGATTTGGGGGTTAAAAGAATTGATTAGCGCACAGATTACTAACTTTCCAGACACTCTCTGATTGCACAAGGAAGATATATTCTATAAATTCTGCACAAAGTTGGCATATTGTTTTGTCTTGTTTTTATTTTTCTATTTTTTTTTTAAAGATTTTATTTATTTATTTGACAGACAAGTAGGCAGAGAGGCAGGCAGAGAGAGAGAGGAAGAGGCAGGCTCCCTGCTGAGCAGAGAGCCCGATGTGGGGCTCCATCCCAGGACCCTGGGATCACGACCCAAGCTGAAGGCAGAGGCTTTAACCCACTGAGCCACCCAGGTGTCCCATGTTTTGTCTTGTTTTTAAATCAGTGAGTTAAGACCTCACCTGTACATATTTAAGTGAAATGCTTTAAGATACATTTCTCCCCGTCACATCTCTGCTCCTTGCTCTCACCTGTGAGCATAGCGCAAGAGGAGGGTGGTCCCCAGGACCATTCCAGCACGAACGTACCTGAAGACGGAATTCCCATCCAGTGGGGAGACACATGGAGAACTCTGATGCCTCGCTTAGCCGTTTCAACTTGTTTTTATGCCATTCTCTTGCCTGAAATTCGAGCACACCAGTGGTCTACACAAGAGAAACTGAAGTGCCCCCAGTAACCTCTGCTTCCTGGTTTTCAGAGTCGCAGGTGGCGAGCTGTTTGACTTTTTGGCTGAAAAGGAATCTCTGACTGAAGAGGAAGCAACCGAGTTTCTCAAACAGATTCTTAACGGTGTTTACTACCTGCACTCCCTACAGATTGCCCATTTTGATCTTAAGGTACGTTTTGCTGAGTGTAGGTCGGAGAGAAGGGTATGCAAATCATAGCATTGGTTGTTTGTTAAGAAAAATTGAGGCATCTTAAAGACATAAATTTTTTTTTAATCCTATATGGGTGTAGCAGATGGAATTAGGAAGATAAATCAGCAGGTGTATAGTGCATACCTACTCAAGGATTCCTAACCTTTTGTGGGATAGAGACTGAAGATAAATGATTACATTTAAGAATCCCTGGGGAAGAATCAAAGGGTTTTACCAGCCGGGTCTCTAAGCAAGGGGGACATTCTTGGTTATGGGGTGTTTTTAGCATAGAGTGGCCTCTGGCTGCCCAGTTTCCAACCCCTGTAGCTGCAGGGCATGTACAGAGGAAGATGTCTTGATCTCTCCTCTGCCTCTTGATGCAAAGGCCTGAGTCTGTCACCAGCAATCGATCAAGAGAAACTCTGAGACTGGCTAATTGGGGTCTTTGGCAGCCTGAAAACAAAGCACTGTGGGAGATTAAAAGGCATGTCATACTTGTAACTATCAGGGAGGTTATGGTCTCTATAGGAAGGGAAGGCATATACGGGAACAACAGGCCATGATGATGTAAGATTCAAGGCACTGAGAAGTGATCACAAAGCAGCATGTGATCGATTGGCAAGTGAATGATTCAGATCATTGGAGCTAGGACGAGACTTCAGAAGAGGGAGGACTTTCTCCACACTTACTGTAGCAGAGCTGTCAAGACCCCATCTGGATCCCTCCAGCACTCACTAACACACCCTGAACGCTGCTGCTGCACACACTTGTGGCTGTCTGCCTGACGTCTGGTTTCTGGCCTGGGAGCTGCACGCACCAGAGTCGATGCCCACAGAAGCTGCTTTTAGCAGGGCAGGCGGTTGGGGTGGGAGGGATGATGGATAAATGCCCCAACTCCCTCCTGCTTCACCTGGAAAATTCAGTGCTGCTCCTCCTTAAGTTCCGCAAGGGGACTGCCCTCCATCACCCCCACCTCGACAAGACACCTTGTGTGGGTTTCCTTCCTTCTGCTTCCTGTCTCCCCAACCTCCACTGTGTAACTCTTCCCTGGAGCCTCCTCCCACAAAAGCCGCTCGCACCTGAATCCCTGGCACAGGTCCACTCCCGGGAGAACCTAAACCAAGATAGTTCGTTTTCCTGGTATTCTCTTGCAACTACCCAGTCATCCCTAGGTTTGGGTGGGTTTTTTTCAGGGAAGGGGAAGAAAAATTCTGCCGCTTTGTCTTCAGCATAATATATTATATAGCGCTTCTCTTTTTTTTTTTTTTTAAGCCTGAAAACATAATGCTTTTGGATAGAAATGTCCCTAAACCTCGAATCAAGATCATTGATTTTGGGTTGGCCCATAAAATTGACTTTGGAAATGAATTCAAGAACATATTTGGGACACCAGAGTTTGTTGGTACGTTTTTTTTTTTACTCCTGTGCTCCTTTATTTCTCATAAATATAATGGATGAAACTGGCAAAATGTCCCCTGCTGTAACATCATCTGTTTCCCTGGTACATCTTTCTGGTTTATATCTGATGGTGGAATCTGTTGATTCACTTTCATTCAAAACTAAACGTGTTTTATTTCCTCTTAGCTCCTGAGATAGTCAACTACGAACCTCTTGGTCTAGAGGCAGATATGTGGTAAGGAGCATGCCCTTGATGCTGTCATCTTTCTGATTTACTTTACTGTTCTTCTGACACTGGTTTCTGTTTCTGTTTGTGTCTAGGAGTATTGGGGTCATAACCTATATTCTGTAAGTATCAAAATCCACGTCTCGTATTCTTTTCCTCTTTCCCTGAGACCATCTGTCTCATTAACCATCTATGTGTCATGTTGATCTCTTCAGTTCATGCATGCTTTTTAGGTAAACATACTCATTTTACACCCCCAGAACACGTTTAGTTTATACTAATTAAACATTTTCTTCTAATTCACAATGAGTCATCAGAAACTGCAGCAGCATCGCTGAAAGCAAGCGCGGCTGTCCATCACTGCTGAGAAAATAGGAAAAAAAGAAAATGGGGTGTTTTTTTTAACTACTAGATGCTGTTCCAAATTAACTTTTGAAGTGCCTCCTAGGCCTTAAGCTGGAGGTTTTGTGCATGGCAACTAAATGCCCCCTACAGTGTAATTGGATTCTGAAGGAACTGCCCGAGCACCAGATTATCATCTGAAGCCTCACTCCCCTTATCAGTTGTTATAGGAATGACGTGACAACCTAAGAGGTAATCATGCGTGTTCTGCACCCCCACTTTATTAACAGCCTAAGTGGGGCCTCCCCCTTTCTTGGAGACACTAAGCAAGAAACATTAGCAAACGTGTCGGCTGTCAACTACGAATTTGAGGAAGAATACTTCAGTAATACCAGTGCCCTAGCCAAAGATTTCATAAGAAGACTCCTCGTCAAGGATCCAAAGTGAGTGTCCATCATTCCTGAAGGGTTCCCGGCCGTGGCTTCAGCTCACAGCCTGGACTGTGCATGCGGCCACGTTTACGCGAGCCTGGTTGGTTCCGCGTGGCCAGGGAAAGCATGCCACGTGGAATGCTTCGGAAAATGCAGGCAGGGCCCTTTGCACCTGCTTGGTCGGTCCCTGCAGATAGAGTAAAATAGTCCCAGAAAGACCAACATTCTTTTTGGCTTTCTTCCATGAAGCAGTCCCTGACCTGCATTTTCCAGAGCACCGACCCAGGAGGCCCTGCCGGCATGGAAACAACCTTAGTGTTTGCTTCTATGGTCACAGCATTTTTTTTCTTTCCCCTCCCCCTACAAAGGAAGAGAATGACAATTCAAGATAGTTTGCAGCATCCCTGGATCAAGGTAAGTTGCCCGCCGTGATTGGTTTGGTATTATAGGGTATCCGGAATGCCTTTGCCCTGGCGCACTGCGAGTTACATGGGGTCTCGCCCCAGATTGCGTGGAGGATTGTTTTTGATATTGGTGCCGTATTTAAAAGGCGGCTGACAGATGAGAGTGTCCTAGTGGTCGTGGAGGTGAGAGTGAGCTGTCACAGTGCAGGATTCTAAACGGGGAATCGAAGGTCAAGTTTGCTCAACAGCCATTTTTGGTTTGACCTGTGGGATGGTGGCCCAGAGACTGTTTTAAAATTTTTGGAATTGATTTCCAGCATAAATATCATACCAGATCTGGATTTCCGATGTCTGCTGTAAAATTTAAAGGCTACAGTACTGAGCCCGCATTCCATAAAGCGCTCCAAACCCTGCACAACTGTCTGTGCCAGAGCCTGCCGCCTCCCTCCCCCCGGCCTACTATATACCTCTGCGTTCCCTGAGACACCCACTGGCATTTGGGTTAAAGAGTTTGCTCCAGCTATGGCAGTTACACAGTAAAATCATGGAACTGCTAAGAGGACTGCAGTGTAACAACTTGCATTGCTGAAGTAGGTTTGGGGCTTCCAGAGAGTTCTGCTGTGTGAGCTCCTAGCGGTTGCCTGGGCTCCCTGAGGGGGCAATGGTGTCTCCTTCTCTCAGTAGAGCCAATGCTCTCCTAAAAAAAATTCAGTACAGGGAATTCTAATGCTGTCAGACGGGGCTGATTTGCTAACCTTTGAGTCCCCTCCCTGTCTGAACTACCTGATGATACTAAGTTCACGTACCGCATCACGAGACCTCACCATGAATCTTGCCATTCCCAAACTCATGCGGGAAGTTCGAATTCAAGCCTGGTCCAAGCGCAATTCTTCCACTCTTCCCAAGATCCACTTTTTATGGATTTTATCAAACCCTTAGCCATGAGAGTTGACCTCCAGAGACTAGGTTTCTGGCTCTTGCATATTATCCGAATTTGTTGTCTTATATTCGTAAGGTGAGTGTGTACACATCCCAAATAATTAGAGGTTTCCAAAAGTTGTCATGGCACACATTTCCATCATTTGAAGGCTCTAAATTTACTTTCTTGGACTTTGATTTTAGCCTAAAGATACCCAGCAAGCACTTAGTAGAAAGGCATCGGCAGTCAACATGGAGAAGTTCAAGAAGTTCGCAGCCCGGAAAAAGTGGAAAGTAAGAGTGTTTGACAGGGAACGATTAACTGATTTCTTTCCTCTGTGGCACTGCCTCTGGCCAGTCTCCCCTGTTCTGATACTGGCCATACAAAAGTGCATCCTTTTTTGGTCTGTTTGTTTAAATTTCTCTAGTCTTCTGTATCGTTATGCTATTTTCAAAAGATAGGTGAAAATAATATTTCAGTCCTCTTTCACTCTAATTTTCATATGTAATTTTTGCATTTTTTTTAAATAAAAACCATTCCCAAGGCAAATGTTTAAATCAGCACAACAAAATTATAATGCAGTCTTTTCCTAAATGCAACAAGCCACATTTTAAATAAATCCGTTCTTTGCGGTAAGCAGCATGGAATTGCATTTATAGCAGAACTTGTGTGAATGGTTCTCAAAGTCCAACCTTGATCTGTGATGGGTGGGGGTGGGAGTGGGGCAAGGCCATGAACATTTGCCCTGTGACCTCTTGTGCTTTTTCAGTGTGGATGGCCTCTGTGGGGGCTGTGTGGGGCATGACTCTAAAAGGCATTCCAGTCAACCTTGCACAAATGAAAATTCAAGGTTCACAAGGTGATAGGATGTCTTCCTATGCCCAGGGTTGTGTGAAGCCCGAAGGAAGCAGGTACCTGCCCCATGTCTCTGAGCACTGGGCTAGAAATGGACCTCATTTTCACACCCATCAAGTTCTGGGTGCCATGATAGGGATGAGGAGGGCCACAGCACTAGCTTACTTGAGACTTAACACTTAGTCTGAAGGAAGCACTGAGAATAGTCTTAAAATATAGAGAGAACCACCATAAGTTTCTCTCTTTTTTTCTTTACACACACACACACACACACACACACACACACACGTTATTTACTATTGCTTTTGCCTTTGAGAGTAAATGCAGGGGTGTTTGCCCTATAGGCTAAGGAGTTCCCCACTGTTTGTTTCCAACAACTGCATGAATTTTGATAGTCTCATTACCAGCTTGCCTGGGCACAAGGACACAGGACAAGACCCTTGCATACCACGCTTCTCTGAGTGGGGATGTGCAAAGGGTTTGTTAGGGTAAGATTCCACTGCTCAAAAAAAGTAGATAAGGACCTATTAAGAGAAGGGATGCAGACTGGGCAATTGTGTAGTTAATAATGAAACGTGGAAGGGAAACCTCTATCCTGTTGTCTTGATTTATAAGACCTTTAGAAATTTCCTTAAGCAAATAGGATCCAACTTCCTTATAGGACCCTTATAAGATCCCCCCCACAAAGAACATGCCATCAGCAGTGAATACCAGCTCAAAGACTTTGCCATTTACACTAATTTGAGTATCCTTATATACGTTCTTTCTTCCTCTTCTCCTGAATTTTATGGTTTTTTTTTCCCTTTTTTCCTTTTTTTTTTTTTTTTTTTTTTTTTTTTTTAAGCAATCCGTTCGCTTGATATCACTGTGCCAAAGATTATCCAGGTCGTTCTTGTCCAGGAGTAACATGAGTGTTGCCAGAAGCGATGATACTCTGGTAAGCAAACCTGTTTGCCTTGGTGAGGTTCATTCTTAGCACTGTGTGTTTCAGATGTTTAGGTTGTTTGATTTGTTCAACAACCCAGAAAACCGGAAGTCACGGAAGTGTCAGGCCTCTTCTTCTTCCACTCAAGGGAGGGAATTGGGTGGTTGATTTGATGTACTCTGTTGCCTCTTTTGTTCTCTTTTCTCTTTGTTTGGATTGGCACCATACCCACTCCTGCCTACTGCCTCTAACACCACCACCCCCCACTCCACTTCTCCCACACTCACAGTTTGATGAGTGACTGGTCAACAGAAGAGGAAAGCATTTATTCTAATTTTCATGAATAAAATGAGAGTCCTCTGTTGCCATTGACCTTGGAAAATACTGGGTCATAGTAGTATAAAAGGGCCAGACACTCCTCCTGCCAACACACACACACACACCCAAAAATCAGGACAAATACTGTGGGGCTCACCGGGGGCAGTTCGTGGTAGACCAGAAGGCTAAACCTACTTCCCTTGTTGATCCTGTATTGCATGTGTAACGCCCTTGAGAACAACTCCATAGTTTTTTTTCCCTTAATCCTCACTGAAACCTAATCACAGAAAAACTCTTCAGATATGGCTGGACACGTCTGAATTCACTGAGACTCTCCCCTGACAGACAGTAGGGCTTTGGGAGCCCTGGAGGTAAAGGGAACCAGAAAGGGTGGTTCTGTGGGAACCAGACTGTTCCCGTGACTACTACATAGTGAATGTTTCCTGAGTGGGTCCACGGGCTCCATGGGCAGAATGACACACCCGCAGACACCAGCTCTTCTCTTCCCTCTGATGCTAGTTGCTTCACTGAGACTCCAGGTGTAGCTTTGTAGGGTAAAAAGAGATAGGACAGGTTAAGAAGAAAATAGGAGTAGGAGAGAAGCAAGGTCGGAGAAGGAGAGGAGAAAGTCTGGGGTTGGGGATTATTTGAGGGTAACAGCGGAACCAGGGACAAGACAAAAACTATTAATCTAAGTAAGATGAGAACAATTACATGTTACAAATTAAAATCATCTTGAATAATCGCTCAGGGGAAAATCTAAGCAGTGCGATGTGAAGTTTAGGGTATGAGAGGGCTTCGGGCTGTGTGGGGGCTCCAGGTGGGATGACCCCTCCCACAGCTCCAGTTCCCTCATTTTCCTGATGTCCTGCTAATCATGGGAACCTGTGGTGACCATCTGCCTCTTCTTCCCATTCACCCCATTTCTCTTGACTGTCACTTTCATGCAAATGTCTCTTAGTCATCAAATTGAATTGTGTTGGAAAAGCGAAACCAGTGACATTCTTGACATGGGCTTGGTACAAATATTATTAAAACCCTCGTGAAGTTTGTTTGGATTCAGATCCGTAGAGAAGAGAAAGCTGAGCCCAGAGAGAAATGCTTTCTCCATTCTGCCCCCAAAACAGAGACTCAACACCTGTCGATATGATCTTTTTCCAGATTTGAAATAGTAGAAGCCATATCCCTGTACGTCCAGAGATTTTGTTTGGGATTTTTCTGGCTTATTCCTTAGTTTTAATGTGCCATATTTGGTAAATATCTTATTATTATAAGAAAACTTTGACATAGTGGCAAAGATTTAACTAAGTTGTTGTTCAACATTATCTAGTTATTTTCTCTTGTAACAAGAAATGCATCTGCTTTCCATTTCTTGGGCCTTTATTTTCATACTTCTCCCCCTCTAGAGTATATGTAAATATGTATGTGTCTGTGTATATGTGTGTGTGTGTATACACACACATATATATATATGTGTGTGTATGTATATATATATGGGTAAACAGAAGGTGGTGTTAGTTTCCAACATGGCAGGAGCAAAAAGGAACCTCCTTCCCTTCATGACCAGGTGGATTTGGGCAGAAAGTGGCTTACTTTGCGCTGAATGCTTCTCTTGACAAATGAGCACTGATTTCTCTTATGCTGATAAGAGGATCGTGGCCAGCAAGCTAACTCTTGTTCCCTCTTCACGGTCCCGCTCAAGGATGAGGAAGACTCCTTTGTGATGAAAGCCATCATCCACGCCATCAATGATGACAACGTCCCCGGCCTGCAGCACCTCCTGGGCTCATTGTCCAACTATGACGTTAACCAACCCAACAAGGTCTGAGGCTGTTCTGCTGGGGGGGCGGGAGGGGAGTCACCACGACTGTACACCTCCAAGTCCAAAGGAGAGGATCCCTTCTACTTCTCCATTCCCTGGGGCTGTTACAGGCGCCATCCTGTGGGGAAGTCACTCCTGGGTTGATAGTGGATTGCGTTAGAAATGAGGTCAAGGGCACTGAGGGCCTTTCTTCATGCCCCTCATGTACCTCTAATCATGACATTGTAAATGTGCTCCTCCTGCAAAGGCACATGTCACCTTGGGTTGGGAACCCAGCAGAGAAAGGCTGTGTGTGCTCCTCTTGTCCCCTTTCCCTGTGGTGCCGCAGTGGTTGTGTGTCTGTTCCGACATGGGAAGCTGTATGGTGTGGGGCCCCAGGGAGAGCTGGTTTTCCCTTCCTACCAAACTGGAAAGAAATGTTCTTCCTTGCCTCTTCCAGCACGGGACACCTCCGTTACTGATCGCCGCTGGCTGTGGGAATATTCAAATACTACAGTTGCTCATTAAAAGAGGCTCAAGAATCGATGTCCAGGATAAGGTCAGAATTCTGTTTTATTGCCACTGAATTAGCTTTTAAAAAAGTATTTCCTGCTGTCTCCCTATCTTAGAGGGAACAGAGAATAACATGGGCCCGTGACTTCATTTCTCCATTTTCCGTAAAGGAAGGTGAACTGCCTAACAGGCTGGTCCAGTCTCACCTGTGTTATAAAGAAAAAGGCAGACCTTTCCCTTCCTCTTGTCTTCCCTTGTACACTACTCAGATTCACTCCTGGCTTATCACGTTTACTCAACAGGGTTAGTAAATGTCACATTTGGGAAAATTTTCATGATCTAATTAATCTCATCAGAAATACATTTGCCTGCACGTTTGTTAGGACAACAAAGTAAGGACACTACATACGCCTTGAGGTCACACTGGAAGGATAAATACAAGTGTTGAACAGGGAGTAGTCACTACAATGGCTCCGCCATCAGCTTCCATAGATTTTCAACAAAACTATAAATGGACTGGATCTGATCCTTGTGCACAGACAGAGTTCTAACCAGAGATTGAAATGAAGGTTCTAAGAGAAGAAAAATGGCATTTTAAAATAATTCTAGATTTACCAAGAAAGTTGCAAAGATAGGAGAGAGAGCTTCCCAGAAATCTCAAATTCTTACGTAACTCTGGTCTTTTTGGCAAAACTAAAAAATAAAACGGGAGTGTATTCCTCTTGGAAGTTGCTCCCTTGAAGTTGCCGTCACTCGGGAAGGGAACTAGAGCGAGTCTGAGTGATGCGTGCCTTGGGATCTGGAAATGTCACTCCACATTTGTTTTTATACAGGGTGGATCCAATGCCATCTACTGGGCCTCTCGGCATGGCCACGTTGATACCCTGAAATTTCTCAATGAGAACAAATGCCCTTTGGATGTTAAAGACAAGGTAAGGCTACTTATTTTCTTAGGGACCGTGGGAAGTGATAAGAGGTTGCTTATGAATGTTGAACTGCCATATGCATCAGGACCCAAAGCGATAGGGCCCGTAATCAAAATCTTCCTGCAGAGAATTTAATTGAGAAGTTTCTTTCTGCTGCTGGCTTGGTCTAATATTAAAATCTGCAGTTAGCTGAAATCTACCAAGTTGTTGGCATAATAGGCAAGCAGTGACTTATCTTCCCCATAACATGGAAACTCAAGGTTCTGCTAGAGAGACAACCAAGTCCTGATTCTTTTATTCAATTGCTGTGTGTACCTACCTTTACCCTTCTCGTCCTCTCTGAAGTAGCTGCCAGTGTAGATCTTACAAGCACGGGCACTAGAAGGATCCATGAGACTACATGTAAAATAAGGCTTTGGGGGGGCAAAGATATTATAAAAATTATTGATTTAGCAAGGTAAATTTACTTTTGTATATCTGTTGTTTCATCTGTTCATACAACAGTCATGTGAGTTAATTGGCAGGGCTGGAACACATACCTAGGATTCTTACCTTCTCATCCATTATGCATTGAACTGTGCAACCCTGCTCTGCTCCTAATACTTGCAGACTGATTTGTCATGTTCATTCAGGACTGCCACATACAGTTGTATGGACTGCGCACTGCTCTATATCTAAGGGATGATAGTCACGTCAAAGACACACACACACACACACACACACACACACACACACACACACGCATTATGGCAGTTTTGGTCAGGTAGCAACAAGTATCTTGTTTTGTTTTAAATCTGTTTGTACTCCAAGTTTTGGGCAAATATAAGTAAAACATCCTGAGGAAATTGCATGTATTACAAATTCACAGAATGCGACTGTGGGCTAAAAGTGATATGTTTTAGAATCTCTGAGAAAGTAAGAAATAACATCCTAAACATAGACAGTGAAATGAGAAACTTGCTCATAAACAAAACTTTAAATAATGTAATATTAAAACGGGAGTTTTGTGTTTAAAAAAAAAAAAAATCCCATGGCTGTGAGCATCAATATATGGAGAGGATTGAGAACCGCCATCTCAGACAGGGAAGCGTTCTTACTGAGGAGGTTTTGTGACAAGCAGGATGAGCTATGTGTCTGGGTTTAGCACTAGCTGTGTGGGACACATCCTACCCCAGGGTCCTGGGCCCAATCACCAAGGGGGCTTCGGGTCTGAGGGTGGCGGGGGCCCCAAAGGGGAAGACGTGGAGCCAGGCATGCATGGGATCTGGCCTCCAGTCCTATGCATTCAGTTTCCACAGTCTGCTGAATTTGTCTGTTTCTCTTACAGTCTGGAGAGACAGCCCTGCACGTGGCAGCTCGCTATGGGCATGCTGATGTGGTCCAGTTACTGTGCACCTTTGGCTCTAATCCCAATTTCCAGGACAAGGTGGGTCATGGTAGTCGATGTCCATTTGCCTGCTCACTGCATGGATGTGCCCCAAGCTGATGGATAGAGTCGGGTCCTTGGGGTTTTCTGCTTAGATATCAGAGGGCAGGGTCTCGAACAGAAACACGAACGTTCATTCATTCTTTCATTTACTCCTCTGGATAATCCTGCATGTGGGTTGCTATTATTATTATCCTCATTTTATGGAAGACTGAGGCACAGAGAGGTTCAGTGACTTGCCCAAGCTCACACAGCTGCTAAGTAGCAGAGCAGTCTGGTTCCACAGTCATGGTTCCAGAGTCATGCCGTCAGCACTACGCTGTAATAACCTCTCGCAGACAGACATGAGCGTCTAACGACGTTGATGGTGAATATACAGACTTTTCAGGCCTACAGACCTTCCTGTCACTTCTTAAAGCCTGATAACCTCAGCACTTCTTTGCCAGAGCAACAGTAAATTGTGCGACTCATCTTTATGTGACCTACGGGACAGAAATCTTGAGGGGTTAAGATTGTTGCAGGAAGGCTTGCTGAGGAAGTGCTCTCCCCCCGTGAGGAGTCTGAACGTGAACGAAGACACTTTCCCAAGAAAGGTGCTATAAACCTACCCACACCCATGCTCCCTGGTTCAGAACAGCCGAGCCGACCCTTCCAGGGGGCTCCTGAAAGTCAGTAACTGGCAGGGAAAACTGAATTTGTGCAACACACAGGTGTGGACACAGGAAAACTAATGAAGGAGAGACATCAGGCCTGCATCCATTATTTCCTGTGAGTATCTTGCTCCACTGGCCATGAGCTCTTTTCTCTGTGCTGCCATCACTGGGCCGCCGTGACTCGGCTGGAACTCCGTGCACACATACCTGCGTGTTGCTGTGTCCGTCTCTTTCATGCGTGTGTCTCTTTGGCCAGGAAGAAGAAACCCCCCTGCACTGTGCTGCCTGGCACGGGTATTACTCCGTGGCCAGAGCCCTTTGCGAAGCCGGCTGCAACGTGAACATTAAGAACCGAGAAGGAGAGACGCCCCTCCTGACAGCCTCTGCCCGGGGCTACCACGACATCGTGGAGTGTCTGTCTGAACACGGAGCCGACCTCAATGCCTCCGACAAGGTGCTTTGTGGGTAAATGTATCATGCTCCCTGGCATGCGATCTGGGGGTCTCGTAGGACCATAAGCCTCCTCCATCAATTTACCTAACAAACTCAAATGTAGCAAATTACAGTGATCCTTTGTCCTCTCTGTTTCAGAAATTCTGTGCCCTTTTCTAGATTCTCTTTAATAATTAATATTCCTTTGTGACATTTAACACTTGATGTGACATGACTCAGGTGTCTATCTTAACGTTTAGCCTTTTCCACTTTGGAGCAGGTACAGCGATGATCTCTGAGCCTAAGACAATCTTCAGTTCGGACTAAAATTGGCAAGTCACTATTACTTCATAGATTAAACAAAGAAATAGGTGGTTTATTTACTTTCATCGTTGACTGTTTTGTAAAAAGACAAAAACCACCCTTGTTTGTCTGATAATTGCCATTCTACACCAGGTGTTCCTTTATTCAGGATACAAATTCAGCATAATCTGTTCTTATTGTGAGTTTGCTTAACGTGAGGCTGTGATGTTACTCTATATATCAGATTTGGGATAGTGTAGTTAAGTTAGTAATTGCCGTTTTTGGAGTCTTTTTTCTCAGTACGGAGAGGTGGTTCTCAACTGGGAGCAAGCTTGCCCCCAGGAGACAATTCGTAATGGCTGAAGACCTTTTGTGGTTGTCATAGCCCAGAGTCTCCACACAGACATGGCCCCAAATTCTGTCCCTGGCTCAGGAAACTCAACCTGACTGTTCTCCAGGGAATCCGTAACAAGTGGAGGGAGTTCTCAGGCTGGTCTTTTTGGGGATGCCTGGGGCCAACATGTTATATTCGCCCCTAATAGATAAGGTAGCCCTTGAACACATCTCAGTTTCTCCCAGGCTCAGAGAAAAGAATGGGCATTCTACTTAGGAAGTCAGTAAAGACGCTGAGCGAATGTTTCTTAAAAGTGGTTTTTCAGGTCTGTGATAAAACAGGCCATTGGAGTACGGACCATTACTTAAGTTCTGTAAAGTCAGGGAGGGACAAGAAGAAGTGTTGGCTCTTTCCCTCTGATTGTACTGGCCGTACCTGGAATCGTCAGTTTGTGGTTACTTAGTGGGGCGCACGAAGTCTGTCCCCCACTCTCTGGGAGGAAAGTCTGTTATGTAATCCTCCCATCAGGCTCTGCACTAGCGATGCCATCCCCAATTCATCTTGGCCCAGTGGCGGCTGGAAAGGCGAGTGGCCAGCCCTGCGAGCCTAAGGGAAAGTGCTCATGACCCCTGGTGCTTTTTGCAGGATGGACACATCGCTCTTCATCTTGCCGTGAGACGGTGTCAGATGGAGGTGATCCAGACTCTCATCGGCCAGGGGTGTTCTGTCGACTTCCAAGACAGGCACGGCAACACCCCGCTCCATGTGGCCTGCAAAGACGGCAACATGCCTATTGTGGTGGCCCTCTGTGAAGCCGGCTGCAATCTGGATATCTCCAACAAGGTAATGGTGGCGGGGATGCAGGGACTGGCACGTGTACCCGGCCAGCTGCCTCTGGGTGTGGCCAGGCTTCTCTTTGTGTCTCTTTGTGTCTCTTCAAAGTCTGTGTTACTCATGGGCACCTGTTCGGTCTTACAGGGCTCTCAACTTAATGTTGTATTTTATTTTATTTTTTTAAAGATTTTATTTATTTGACACAGAGATCACAAGTAGGCAGAGAGGCAGACAGAGAAAGAGGAGGAAGCAGGCTCCCCACCGAGCAGAGAGCCCAATGTGGGGCTCAATCCCAGGACCCTGAGACCATGACCTGAGCCGAAGGCAGAGGTTTAACCGCTGAGCCACCCAGGTGCCCCTTAATGTCATATTTTACATTTAGCTTTTGAATAACTTCGTGGAGCAACAGAAAATTATTACATGAATAAGTACTTCCTACCTAGCTAGGTGGTCACTTATGAACATCGAGAGAGAAAGAGAGAGAAAAGGAGGAATGTGTGTGTGAGAGCTCTTGTAGAGGAATCCCAGAACATCCGTCAAATGAGAGTCTCTTTCTGGAGCACTAAGTCTTCAGGAAGACGCTTCACTGAGAATCCAAGACCCAGATTTCTGTTCTTAGCTTCATGCATTGAGAGTTTTATGGTCAAGCACTCACAACCCTTGTTTGTGCTAAATAAATTTGGTAAGACCGAGGGAATGCTACCATTTGGCAAATAAAGAAATGGAAATAAATAATTACGTGATCCATAAACCCCAGATGTTGGCTTCTAGAAGTTAGCTACCACCTTCCCTTTTCCCTGAACAACATCTAGATTTTCATTACCAAATAAGACAGAAGAGTTGGTTCTTCCTGCCGTTTTAGCCATGTGACTGTATGAAAGGCAAACACTCTTCTTTTGTGATAGTGTTAAAGAGAAAGTCCAAGTAGAATTAAATATTTGAATGTGGGAAGGGTTTGTTTATAAATGGCAGAGATGATCCCAGCAGAATTTTATTATGATTTGTTTGAGGTAAGAGAATTAATATCTGAAACAGCGGGAAAATTACACTCCTACCAAAAATTATTCCTCTTGCCTATTATGTGATTAATTCTAATGAAAATTAAAATTGGCAATCTGCACGTTCTGGAAATTTGGAAACGCAAGATCATAGGTCTTAGCCATTAGCTGCTACGCTGGTTGCTTTCTTTGTTTATCCCATTCTAATCCTGCCAAGCCAGTTAGGAAAGTGGCTTAACAGGAAAGCCAGATATAAAGCAGCATCAAGACCTTGACTTTCCTTCCAGGAGTCTTTAAACAAATAAAAAGTGGTTTCAAGGAACAACGTGGCGCTTACTTGGATATGTTTGGATTTGGCCACAGCGTGCACGGAGGCCCACTGTGTGCACAGCATCTAAGATGAGCTATGTCTTGGGAAGGTGGACAGGCCGAGCAGGTGACTCTGGGTTCCTTGCACCAAGTTAAAGAAGGGAATGGGTGTTCCCACGCCTGAGTGCAAACACTGCACCTGCTAAATATGCTCTTAAAATATCCAGCAAGAGGGGCACCTGGATGGCTCAGTCAGTAAAGCGGCTGACTCTGGACGTCGGCTCCGGTCATGATCTTGGGGTCGTGGGATCAAGCCCTGCAGCGGGCTCGGTGCTCCTCGTGGAGTCTGCTTGATTCTCTCTCTCCCTCTTCCCTTGCTCACACACACACACACACACACACACTCTCTCTCTCTCTCTCTCAAATAAATAAGTATATCTTTAAAAAAATAAAATAAAATACTTGGCAAGATAATCCTAGACTTTCATGTTTAAAAACCACTGGCATATTGACTGGGAAAGGCTCTCCGTTGTTGATGCTGTGGCTGGCCGTCCAGACGTATCCCCACAGATGTGTTTCTACCGTATAGGGCAACACTGGCTCAGAGAGGCGGTTCAGCAGGTGACTTGGTCACGGACCTGAGCGCAGCTGAAGCTCCACGGCGTCAGCCTCCTGGAGTCTGTAGCCCAGGTCAGAGGGTCATGGGGAACCTGCTCAGAGCCCCCTCCTCTGTCTGATGAGCAGCTCTGTGAGCTGGGACCCGCAGACAGGCTCCCTGGGCCGTCGTTGGTGCTCAGGGGTCCAGCACACTGTCACGCCGTGCATCTCACGCCTTCTTCAGAGAACTGAGAACATCTTCGGTTTTTTTCTCCCTTTTCTAGCTTTTTGTTTTAGGAAAATGATGGAGCTCTAGAGGATCTTGAATTAGTAAGAGGAAGGCATTACTTGCTCGGAAAGCACCTCTACCTTTACTTGGCCTCACCCTTGTAAGTGACTGTCCAAACGGACCTTAGCACGTGACAGCCCATGTCATACAGGCAGACAGTCACTCCTTTCTCGTGACATGTCTGGCCTTTTCCTTACCTGGATTCAGTTCCCCCCGAGATAACAATGGCCATTAGGGTCCTACCCCAGTCCGCAGTATGGGACAGGAATTTGTCACTACCTTTGACGCTCATCAGAGTGAAACAAATCTTTCTCAGTCTTCATTCATCCTGTGGGAAAAACAGGAGAGTGGCTGTGGAAGTGGGCTGTGCTGGGGAGCACAGGGCAGAGAGAGCTGGGTGGCACTGAGCCTACAGACCTTAAGCCTTCTTCCTCTGGGATGGCTCTTCTTATCAGTGAAGACGGAAAGTAGGTTGTGCTCATACACACATGCACGTGCCCGCACACAGAGATGCACACATAGGTGCACACATGCACAGACCAGCAGACACATACACCCACACAAACACACAGAGATACACACACATGCAAACAGAGGCATATACAAAGCACACGCAGATGGGCACACACACATGCACACACGCATGCACATATCCAAGTACATGAGTGAGAATGCCCGGCCAGCCAAGCGTGTCCTAATACCTTTCTCCAGCGCATTGTGCCAGGTGAGGTCTGGGGCTTGCAGATAACAGCAGGAATGGTTCTTGCCCTCAGGCTGCTTTTCCCTCCTGCCCTGTCTCCTGCAGTCTCTGCTTTCACAAGGACAGGTGCATGGCAAGGCAGCGCTGGGCACGTTAGAGAAACTTAGAGGGCTTTTCAGAGGCACTTAGGGCTTTGCTGGATGGAGAAGAGGGGATAGTGTGTTTCATACTGAGGGAAGTGTTCGTGTATGTTTGGGGACAATTCTCTGGATGTGCCTGCAGCTGACCTGGGGGTGTAGGTTTTTGGGTGGGGGGCAGGCAGTGGGGCACAGAGAGAAAACACAGGTGGAAGGGGATCTTGGGTCCAGATGGTGCTAGACCTTGACTCCAATCCTGAGGAGTTTGGGTTTGGTTCTGTGAAAAGCTGGAGCCTTCAAAAGTGTCAACTTCCTAGTCCTTTTTCTTTGTTGTCCTTCTTCCCTTGCATCAAGGGATGCCTCCCACTGCTCCTCCTTCCACATAAATCCAGACACCTCATCCCGTCTTTACAGCCTCTCTCTTCCTTCTCACTGCATTGCTGGTGTATTTGAAGGCTTCATATTTGCGTTCTAAAGCCTCTAGATGACAGCAAACAAAATACAGACATGTATGCACATTGTAGCATGTTTTATAAGGGCAAGGAACAGAACCACCTTAAGTCGGTCCTCAGGGGGCTGTCTGCGTGAACATCCACACGTATCTACATGCGGCGTATTATTCGGGTGTCTGAAAGAACGTAATACATTAGTGACAGGCATAGCGAAGTGTCGCCCATATATTGTCAGGTGAACATGTAGAGTGGGGTGTGATCATGTCCTGGCTTTTCAAATTATTTGTTTCCTTTTATGGATTGAGAGCTAAAAGCTTGGCAGGAAAGGCAACAAAGGGACCAGCAGGACCTGCTCCAAGGAAGGAAGTTGGGGGAGGGGACCAAAGGAAAGGAGCTCTTTTGTTTTCCACCCCGTCCCTCAGGGTCCTTTGCATATTCTAAATCAGCAGGTGTTAACTTCAGAACAAAAGCTTACAACTGCAAATAAACAGCCTGAGGCCAGTACCTGAAATTCCTCAGCCTCCCTGGTCCTGGTGTCTCAGAACTTTTTTCCTGGTTCCCCCAGGGCAAAAGAAATACCTAACTGCTCTGTTTATTAAGTGGTTTGGTGCAAACAACCTAGTAAGAATTTATGTCCTAAAGACTCAGTAGCTGTGGGGGAAAAGTGACCCCACACAAATGGAAAGGAAACGTATATTTTGATTTCAGGCTTCCGTAACCCCAATGGCGTACCAATGGGACGTGTGTGCTTTTTGGGCACCTCACAACCCTCAGATGTGAACCCAGGTTGGACACTGCCACCCTTACTTCCTGCTCGACCCTGATGTCCTCAAGATACTCACCTCTTGTCACAGTAACCTCCCCACGCCCTTTGTGCTAACACCACAGAAAGGAAGGCAGGGCAGTCTGGTGCTGAGAGCCTGAACTGCCTCTTGAAGCTAGTAATTCACTTTGTGTCTGAACCTGCTGCTTCCATTGAAAATGCAAAATATTCCTCCGTATCCCGTGAACTAACTGCAGTGCCCTGAGGTGCCTGGGCACACAGTTTGGGAACCACAGACATAAACATGAGGGAGCATGGTAGGCATGGCCTTGCACTGTCACCTCAGTAGAGCCACCTCAGTAGCTCTCGTAACATCCCTTTGTCCCTTGCAGCGTCCATATTTGAACTCTGGTACAGATCTTTCTGGAACTTTGGGACCCTTTGTAAGAGCCCTGACTCAGACCTCCTTTCTGCCCGCACAGCGGGAGACTTGATTTAGTAATGATAAGCCTCCTACTCTTTCATCCTTTCCAGTTTTAGTTCCAAGTTACTCTTCTCACTGGAGAACACTCGCCCCCGACCTGCCAGGCTTGTGTCCCTCAGGAGAGGGCAAGTTTCTGGAGAAGGGATCCCACACCTCCTGTGTCTTCAGGGGGATCCCAGATCCCTCGCACAGTGCTGACCTATGGGATGGACTCACATCCAGGGCCATCCTCAGCAACCATCGTGAGAAGGACTCTTTTTGGGCTTTCTTGTGTTTTCCAGTACGGCCGAACGCCTCTGCACCTTGCAGCCAACAACGGGATTCTGGACGTGGTGCGCTACCTCTGTCTGGCGGGCGCCAACGTGGAGGCGCTGACCTCGGTGAGTCACCCTCTGGGGCAGGAGAATGCCATAGAAAGCCGTAGAAAACGTCTCAGGCCTCAAGGGCATGAGGGGCAAGATATCACTTGGCAACTGCCTCTCAGTGGACAAGCTGCTAGAAGCTTCACTCCTGCGCGACAGGTTGAAGACAGTTGCCCCCACAGAGCCAAGGGAGAGGGCTGGCTTGGCCACCTTCCCCGCGCATTTCGTGGCCCGCACTGCCACGAAGGCCTGCTGTGGCCTGTGTTCCACAACAACACCTTGGGGTGTGTGGTTAGGTATGTGTTTTCCTTTTCTCAATGCTCCCCTCCCCTATGGGGTTTCGGAGGCGCCTGGGGTGGGGGTCAGGGAGGGGAACTGCTTGGGAGAGCCATGCTCTTCTGTTCAAGAAGCTGCCTTGGCTCTGAGGCGGGCCCTGATGATTTTACAGGCGATGCTTCTGTTCCCCCGGCCTCCCCACTCCACCTTCCACGCCAGGTACTGCCCCACTTGAGTTACATTTCATGAAATACCAAAGAGGAAAAATCCGGGGACTAATGAGATAAGGTTGTCATTTTACTGCTTCCGTGAAATATTGTCATTTGACTTGCTTCTGGACTAATGGTGGGTTGAGTCTCCCACTCCATTACGTGGGAGATTCCTGAAACTCTCTAGTGCTTTGCTGACATAAAGTGTTTGTCTAAGGAAAGCCACTGGAGTTTCAAAATATGGCAGCCAGTTTTGGGAAAATCAGGGCCCTGAGACCAGAAGGGAGGCCTCATTTCTTGGAGAGGCACGCAGGGGTTGGCAAACTAGGGGCCACAGGCCAAATCCAGCCTGCTGCCTGTTTCTGTGAATAAAGTTTTATTGGGACGCAGCCACGCTCATTATTACGTATTTATGGCCACTTTCATGCTGTAAGGGCAGAGGTGAGCGGGTGCGACGGGGACGCTGTGGCTTCCAGAGCGCAAAGTATCAACTCTCTTGCCCTTTACAGAAAATGTTTGGTGACCCCTGGTGGAGGACATTGCCTCCCTGAATGCACTGATAGCCCTTTGATGTCCTTCTGTCCCCAGAAGTACTGGCCTCGTTCTCTGAAGTGTTGAGCCCTGAGCTGGGCTTTCCTGCAGGCCTAGGGAATGCCAGTGGGACGGGATTGTCCCTTTCTTAGGTCACTTCCCCGCCTGTCACAAAACCCCACAAGGCCATGCATGGGCTTCTAGGCCGGATGTGCCATTATCAAACCCTTCCCAGCCATGTCTTGGGAAAAGTGTATATATATATATGTCACAAATGTTGCCTCACAAAAAAACTGTCAAGGATGGCTCTGAAGATACCAGATGCTGATTCTGCCAAGCCCACAGGCGGGTTAGGGACAGTAAAACGTGTGGCCCTTGGCCTCTGCTGGGTGGTTGGTGCCACCACATGACCTCTGTGAGCCCTGGGTCCTCTCCTTTTGTCCTTGTCCCCAGCTGCTGATTCCTTACTTCCCATTAGGGGCCTCCATTCCCGCCCGCCCTCAGGTCTGTCTCCTCATTCATCCTCTTCAGACGTGCCTCCCTTGTTTCTTCATTCCCCAAAACTGGGCACGTACCGTGCACCAGGCACAGCTTAGACCCAGGAACACAGGGGCAGATGAGTTCCCCTCCCTCAGGAAACTTCCAGGAGTCTAACAGGGGGGAGGGAGCAGACAAAAGAGCCACAGCAGTGAAGGTACAGTGAAGGGATGCGACCAGTGAGGGGAGTTTCCAGGAGTGGGGAGACCTCCTCAGGGAGAGTGTAGGGAGCACCCTGTGGAAGCCCTAAGCTGAGAGGCCACAAGCCCTCCTAGGAGCCGGAAGGACAGTGGACTGGAGCACAGCATGGAGAGGCCTGGCCGGCCAAGGGGGAGAGAGCAGGGCCGATGGGCAGGTGCGTGGACCCTGAGGTCTCTCTCTTAGACCAGGGGCAGCCTTCCAGGTGCCCAGCAGGGGGGCAGTATGATCCCCAACGCCTTGCTGCAACAGAGCCATCCTCATACTCGCAGCATGTGCCATGCTAGATGTTCTAGAAGCTGCATCCAAAAAAGGAAAAGAAACGAAGAAGTTAATTTCAGGAACAGATTTTCTTTAACACAAAACATGCAAAATGTTACCATTTCGACCAGCAATCAGTATTTTAAAGGTATTGCGAAATTTCGCGTTTGGTTTGTACTGTCCTGGAAATCGTGCTTTATGCCCCCAGGCATTTTACCTGGGCAGCGTTTCAACACCGAGTAGCCAGGGTTGGGGAGGGGCCGCCTTCTGATTGGCAGAAACAGTGCCCGCCCCTTTCCTGTGCTTCTGTCCCCGCGGCGCGAGCAGCGTCTTTAACCCCAGCTCGCGACCCTGCGGCGCCCCCTAGCGGTTACGTGCCGTCCCATTCTGGTCTCAGCCCCAGTTACTTGGAAAAGCCTCTGAAGGTCCTGCTCTCTTTTTCCTGGACTCCCTCTCCCTCTCTTCCCCCCCTAACCCCCACAGCCCCTCCTGGACACTGTGCTGCCAAGTCTCCAGTCACCTCCTAGTAGCTCTTGCCTTCAGAACTTTTTTATAGTAAGATAAAACAGATTTTTTTTTTTTTTTTTACGAAGCATATGAACAAAAGTAAAGCTTACTGAACTTTCAGTCACCCCAAAAGCCCCCGGGGCCTGACGTGGTCACTGCGTCTCCTTCTGCACAGTGTGACCCCGCTCTGACTTTTAGGGTAGCCATGCCCCTCCTGTCTTCATTCTCCTCCGCGCCTCAGTGGCAGCAGGTTTTTTGAATCGTGGTCCATTAGCCAGGACTTGCACTTCCGGCCCCTCCCACTCGCCTTGGGTAGGAAAACCGCTCTTGCTCCTGCCTCTCCTCCTGCCTTTGCGCGCCTCCTCCAGCCCCAGTGGCTTCCCACATTCCGCCCCTGCCCTCTGACCACCCTGGGCTGCAGCTGCCGCTGGCCCCAGGCCCACGTCCTTGGCTCCAGCCCCACATCCCCAGAGCGCCCCCACATGCCCTCTGGTGGGCACCAGCTTGGCAGGGCCCGACCTCTAGGTTGTCCTCACCCTCCAGCCCTGCCCTTCTCTGTCAGTGTCTGACCTGTGCAGAGGCCTGCAGCCCCTGTCAGCTCCTAGGGTCCAGGAACAGACACACACCCCAGCTGTAAGACATGATGTGCTCCTTCTGTCCATGTGAGAGACTTTTAGTGCCTAATAGCACATAGGCACAGAGTCACAGATGACATTGGTGGCAGGAAGGTTCTGGAACACTAGCTCCTTTTCATCTTTCAGTAATCAGTTGGAGCCCCAGATAGCCTCCTCTTTTCAGCCCCCTCTAGCTCCCCTTCTTGCTCTGTTGGAATTGATTGCTGATCCTCCATGAGGTATGACCCCTTGGCCATGATCATGTGCAATTTGTCCCAGTCTCCTAACCGGTTTCCTTACTTCTACCCTCACCTGCCCAGACTGTTCCTCAGGCAGCAGCTTGTGTGACTCTATTGCAATATAAGTCAGATCATATCCCTCCTCTGCTCAGACCCTCCGTCAAGTTAGAAGTCCTTATGATGGGGACTACTTGAAGACTGACCCCTCACATTGCCTCCCTGACCCCCATCTCCTGCTCTATCTCCAGGCATTGACACCCCCCACCCCATACCACAAGAACCCTATGAGCTTCTCTGAAACTCTTCAGACATGACAGTCATCCTGCTGCCTCAGGGCCTTTGCATTTGCCTTTCTTCACAGGTATCCAAATGCCTTGCTTTCTCTTCTCCCTCAGGTTTTGACTCAAATGTCACCTTCTCAGTGAGGCCCTCCCAGACCACTGTTTATAACCAGGAGGACAATGAGTGTTAGAATTGCTTGTGGGAGTTAGTTAGCACCTGGCTCAGGAGCACAGAGTCTGGCAAGGCCAGAATGCAAACAACCAGCTCCTACCCCATTCTCTCCTAGAAAAGCAGGGCTTTGGGGAAATTCTCAGCTTTTTTATTAGTTATTACTGCCGCTTCCTTTTTCCACGACTGGTACTCTTTTGGTTCTTTCCATTTGTTTATCTCTCATCTGCTGAAGTGCCTGTGTGATGAGGGTCCCCGCTTCCGCCTTACAATGAAGAAGGCCAGGTTCCAGAAGGCCCAGTGACTGATCACACAGCTGGTGGGGGGCAGATTCAGGAGGTAAACCTCGTCCTTCTGACGCCAAAGGTCAAACTTCCCACCACACTGGCAGGCCTTTCTTTTGGGAGCTTGAACACTGTCTCTTAGGGCAAAGTGTTTTGCAAGCTGTGAAGTGGTCCATAATTGTAGGACATTTGATTAGTGGTGGTTTTCCTGTCACTTGAAAGGCTCCATGATGGACAGGGACCTTTGTCACTGAAGGTCTTCTGCCTGTGTAACGTGCCCATCCTGGGTCTCCAAGAGAACTGTGGTGGCCAGAAGTCAGACAACTTTAGTCAAGGCTCACTTGGCTGCGCGTTGGAATCATGGGGAACACTTACAGCGCAGTGTCCGGGTCGCACCCAGATTGACGGAAGCAGAGCGTCCAGAAGGGGGTGGGCGCTTGCAGCCCACCGGAGTTCTTAAAGACCCCCAGGGTTCCAGTGTGTGGTGAGGTTTGGGAACCGCTATCCTGAGGCCTTTTCTCATCATGTCAGCAAGGATCTAGGCTGTTTGGCACGAATCCCTGGTTGGGGTGTGTTGACTGACAAGATCCCTGATTCACCCCAAAACAAACTAGAAGCTCTGCCCTGCCCCCTGGAGACACCTGGGGGCCCTAAGGGAGAGCAGAAGTGGGCCGCGCACTGTAAAGACTGCTCCCCGGAGCACTTACGTGAGCCTCCAGCTTCAGCCTAAGGCGGCGGTTCTCAGCTGGGGTGATTTCACGGCCCCCCCACCCCAGGGAGCCCTGGGCCATGTCTGAAGACTCTTGGAGTTGTCAGGAATCGGGGAGGACGGTCCTTGCAGAGACCAGAGACAGAGGCGCTCAACACCTTGCAATTCCCCGGGACCGCCCCGCACAGCAGAGCATGATCTGGTCCAAAATGTCAGCAGTGCAGAGGCTGAGAAACACTGGTCTCATGAAGCCCCGCGCAGGAGAAACTGGAAGATGTGCTATCGGTGAGACTCCGACAGCCCGAGCTTCCTCGGGAATGCAGCTGTAACCTGTGCTGAGCAGCCCTGAGCAGGAGAGGGATCGAAATGCTTCTCGGTATCCTTGAAAAGAGATTGCTTTTATTTGCACAGAAATGGCCTCGCCTTTTCTACTCCGAATTAGTAACGACTTTAAAACTGGAGCAGAACAGCCCCTCAGCCTCTGTTTCCCCCTCGGTGGCCCACGGATGAGCAGCCGGAGGTCCCCACCCGCAAGGGCCCCCGAGAGCGCGTGCGGGCACAGCAGGCTGCCTGGACCGGGCGCGTGGTGGTCGGGGCGCTCCGTGTCAGCCCGGCTCCTGCTTACTGCCGGCGCGGAAGTGGAAGTGAATTTGCTCGCTGTGAAACGGCAGCCTTGTGAAAATTCTCTCCTTAAAAGGTGCCGTGATCTCTGACTTCCTCCTCTTGTGTTCACTGAAAATCTTTACATCAAAATCGTCTGTAAAACTAAGGCTTTTCTTTGAAATGCACAGAAGTTTCCAGTAACTACATCCTCCGTGAGTGCTCAGGTTTGTCCGTGGAAGGGATTTCAGACACTAGCTAGCACCATCTGGACTTTGGCATCTATGAAAGTCTGCATCGTCGGCTTTCTGGGAGGGAGGTGCAGCGTCTGGGGTCATCCCCCCACCCCCACGCCCGTGAGGTGCCAAGTGTGAGGAAAGCCGGTGGGTCTGAGACATCTCACGGATGGACTTCCAGACACCTGTGCACATGTTTTTTTTCTTTAATTCTCACCTTCCCTCCCTGCAGAACCAATAAGGAAATGAAATAAGGACTGTACAGAAAGGGAAAGAATCGAGGACATAGTGTCCACCTTTTTTGTTTCTAAGGCCTGTTAACGCTTGTTTCTTCGGCCTCTGACAGCAGAACCAGTGGATGGAACAAACAGCTCTCCCATGAAAGAAAGACACTAATGGTTTTTCTCCAACAGGACGGGAAGACAGCAGAAGAGCTCGCTAAATCAGAGCAGCACGAACACGTAGCAGGTCTGCTTGCAAGACTCCGAAAGGTGAGAAATTCTGTTTTTTGGCCTGATATTGTTTTTATGTGAAAAATTCTGTCTTTTTCCTTTTGTACAATGAGTTGAACAAAATGAGGCTTTGGACACACAGGCTGTAGGAAAGGCATCTCTCCCTGTCCTGTGGTTTGCATACAGTTAGCATAAATGCATCAGCTACCCATCGGTTTCTTCTTCTGTGTTTGGACTTGGAAATCATTTGGCTTCCTTACAGTTTCTGTGCCTGGTTTCCCTCCTCCCACCCCTTCTGTAATAACTGTTCCCATAAAGTAGACAGGAAATGAGAAAGCTGACTGATTCTTTCTTTCTTAATGTTTTGAGCTCCAAGATATCACATGATATGCTCGGGTTTAGGAAACACTGTTGCTCTAAGGTTTAAGGAAACAGGACACAGGGCGCCTGGGTGGCTTAGTGGGTTAAGCCTCTGCTTTCAGCTCAGGTCATGATCTCAGAGTCCTGGGATCGAGGCCCACATCGGGCTCTCTGCTCAGCAGGGAACCTGCTTCCCCTTCTCTCTCTCTGCCTGCCTCTCTGCCTACTTGTGACCTCTCTCCCTCTATGAAATAAATAAATAAAATCTTAAAAAAAAAAAAAAAAGGAAACAGGACACAAATAAGTAAATGCAGGGGTGTCTTTCTAGCCCACATCATAGGAATGTGTATCAGGAGTCTTCGAAATAGTCACACCCTTTAAGGTAGGAACTCCATGTCTAGGACTCTGTCCTAAAGAAATGGAAAAAATGCAGCAAATAGTGTTTTATGCACACAGATGTTCATTGCCGTGTTATTTATAATACAGTAATAAAAATCAGAAACATCAGATGACCAACAATAATGTCTAGTGAATTGCTGTACAGATGTAGGATAGAACTGTTTGACCACTCGAGTATTTTTGAAGTCCTAAACTCAAGAAGAGTTTAGGACTTTCTAGGGTTTCAAAGCAGAAGATAGATTCCATACATACGTGTTATAATCCCTTCTGTGTTTTTAAAAAGTGCATAAAAAGGAACTATTAACAGTGCTATTCTGGGATTTTGCAAGTGTGACTTCCTGCATTAAATATGACTGCATTTTTTCCACGTTCCGTATGAAGCTGGTGAGCCTTAAACAACAGATTTGAACTCTGCAGGTCTGCCTCTATGCAGATATCTTTCAGTAAGGACAGTACAGTGCTATAAATCTATTGTGTCTTCCTTCCAATTTTCTTACTAATGTTCCCTTTTCTCTAACTTACCTTATTGTAAGAATACAGTCTGTAGTCCATACTGACATACAAAATCCGTGTTAATCTCCTGTTTATGTTATCGGGAAAGCATCTGGCCAACAGTAGATTGGTAGTAGTCAGGTTTGGGGGGAGTCAAAGATATATTTGGATTTACAACCACATGGGGGGTCAGCACCCATGATGCCTGCATTGTTCAAGGGCCAACTGTAATCCACGTAATAATTTTTCAAAAACAAACTTCTGAGAAACAAAAACAAACAAAACAACCAAACCAATCCAGTCGATTTCAGTGCCCAGTGGAAAGGTATTGTCCAATACGAGCTCGAGGTCGCACAGAGGTCCCGCCATATAAATTGGAAAGTGCCCTGGGAGCGGACGATCCTCTCTTAACCTCCACGGGTGCTAAGTATCTGAATTTTCCTAGAGGTCCCAGGGTCTGGCTGTGGTGGGGCAGGGGACACGGGTGGGAGCAGTTAGCTTTCCCAGCGCCTGCAGTTGAGCTGGGAGATCATGCATCGTCACACCTTTGTGATTCGGAGTCTGCCAACTGGCCGCAGAGGCCCTGGGGAGACAGATGTCCCAGGCCACTGCAGGGATTTAGTGTGCCCTCCCTTCTGGCAATTCCAGGATGAGAACAGTCTGGAAAAAATGTCCCTCGCCTTACTCACACGTTCTTGCAGGGAATGTGTGCATTCGCTGTGGACTTCATGTTCTCCCACTCCACACCACCACACACTGTCTCACTGTGGAGGAGAATTTTGGACAAGAATAACAAGGGAGAAGTGTTTTTGTTTACAAGCAGAACAAGAGGGTTGGAGCCTGAGAGTCACTGTCAGCATATCAACAAGGAACTCTCACATAAGGTCTCCTAATCTTTAAATTCCCTTAACTTGAATGGAATGTCCGCCAGCTGTATGTCCGCCAGCTCATGGCAGAATGGAGCAGTGTGCAACCCTGCAACAGGCCACAGTGGCTCAGGTGTTTGACTTTGGGTGGATTTCATAGCAAGGTGCCCTGCTTTTGAGGTTAGAGCCTTATATTTATTTAATTTATTTATTTGTCATTGCAGTGATGGGTCTGAAACAGTAGATCCCAGACAGATGACAGGAAGGATAGGTCCTGACGTGACAGCCGAGCTGGTATCGGATTGACGGGGTGAAAGGTGCTTTCTCCCTTAATCTGATCCCAGGTTCCCTGCCCTATGCTTACATGGCTTTTGTAATTGGAAATACAAACACTGAGAAGCTTGTGTGCTGCTACTGCTGACCCCCAGCGGCCAGGGAAGGTGACTAGATGTTTTCCAGTCTGGAATCTTGAAATCAAGGTACATGGGCTCTTGCCCTGTCCCTGTTTCAGATTTCCTTTATTCTCTCTCACTGAGGGGCACCCTTGTGTTTTGGTGCCTAGATTTTTAAAAGACAGATGGGAGAGAGAATATTCCAATGTCTAGTATTTTACCACGATGCTGGGATTGTTCTCACAGGAGAGGTCAAGGCAAAGAAACGTCACTTCAATCCCTGTGAGCAAAGTACATCATTCCTGTTAGTGCCCTGAACCCACAGAAAGATTCCTCTCTCACCTTTGTTTCTGGAGGCAGCGTATAAAGTGATGACTGAGTGCACAGACCCAGGAGTCAAACGGCTCCCGCGCAAATCCCAGCACTGCTACAGTCTAGCAGCTCCGTGCCTCAGTTTCCCTTTTCTCAATTGGCATAATTATAATCCTCCCTTACAGTATGGTGGTGATGTAAACGATGTCTTTAGAACAGTGTCTGTACACAGTAAGCACCATGTGTTTGCTGTTTCTGAAACCCTGCAAACCACTCCCTGAGTCCTGGAGAAACAAAGATTTCCCTGTGGTCCAGTGCCCAGGAGCAGATGTGGCATGTGCACAAGGCCCCAGGCAGCTGTGGCAGGGCACCCTTGAGAGCCGTCGTTAGCAACAGCCTTCGTTTAGTCCTCAGTGCACAGCAGGTGCTGTCCTTCCCGGCATCCCCAAGATGGAGCTGTTCTTCAGGAAAGCCCTGCTCACTGAGGCTAAGCAGATGCGAATTAGCTAAGCACCCAGATTCAGTCCTGAAATAGAAATGTCTGCTTCCTGTGCCCTTCACTGGGCTCAGGGCTTCCGTGCTGATCCCTCCTCAGCCATGGGGAAGGAGGGTCTTTCCCTTTGTGTGTGGTGAGCCCCAGCCTCCTTCCTGGGTTTACCAGGTCCTGCTCCGTTCAGGAGCATCTCCTCGACTCTGTGTTCAGTGAGACCCGCGAGTCTGTTTGCCTCAGTCATTCCCTCAAAGGTCTCTAGACCCCGGCTTCCTGATGAGCCAGAGAGGGAGAAGTAGGCTGCCATGTATTTCTAACCACAATTTTTTAAAAATAAATAAATAGGGCGCCTGGGTGGCTCAGTTGGTTAAGCGACTGCTCAGGTCCTGATCCTGGAGTCCCGGGATCGAATCCCACATCAGACTGCCTGCTCCGCGGGGAGTCTGCTTCTCCCGCTGACTTCTCTCCTCTCATGCTTGCTCTCTCTCAAATAAATAAATAAAATCTTTTTTAAAATAAATGAACAAATCTCCAAATAAGTAGCTGCTTGGGGCCTGGGGATACTGGTACTGGAACCGGGTTCTTGAAAATGACTGAGTTGTCCCAGGAGCTACCCTGGAGATTGTCAGCAAGGACTTGTTGTAGGTCCTTCCACGATTAGGCGATCCCTACAAAGCCAAGACAATGGACGTGTTTGCTGTTTTAACTCACATGCTGTGGTGGAGGAGAAGGATCACAACCACTGAGGACAGAGAAGGGAAAGGAAGAGGACAGTTTCTACTTGGGAGCCTCTTGTCCCCATTTCCCTCCCATGTCATTTCCTCCTTGATGTTCCCCCTGTTTCTCTCCCAGGCGGGGTGGGCATTTTGGGGAGGGTTGGGACTTCCTATCATTGCAGGGCTTGTGGACCCCCCAGGCAGTCATGTCATAGCACCCCCACACACACTCATTGTGAAATCAAAAACTGTGTTTACATATTTCCTGACACCTCTGGGGGTGGGGGGAAGCCACCCTCTATCAGACCCCCTCATGTGGATCCTAAACACATTCCTGGGGAGAAGTCTGTATCTGCACAGCAACGGAGTGCAGGGGGGGGACCTTCAATGACTGTCATTCCATAGGTGTGCACACGGGCCAGATTAGCAGCAGAAAGGCCCCCTTGTTTACACCTTTAATCGGTTGAGCCTGGGAACATACGTCTAAAGAAGGTCCTCTAGGGAACCCATGGGACCTGCTGTTCCAATTGACCTGCAGGGGGCAGGAGAGTGCCGGCCAGAATAGAGGGAGAAGCTCCTTGCGTCCTTAGCACAAAGGGCTGACCCTGGGGAGAGGACACCTTGCAGCCACCGCCTCTGGGCAGAGTAGGTGGTGAGGGTGGCTGAGACCAGAGCTTGTCGAGCAGGAAGAACCCACGGTAGGTCTCAGCTGGGCAGGATCTGTGCTGACCCGATTTCCCACTAAGTGCCTGGGAGTGGTGCTCTGCAGGAGCATCTGGTCCCGTCTTACGGATCACCAGTCTCTTTCCAAATGCCAGTGCCCTCACACTGGGGGTTTGATTATCCTTCCAATTAGATTTCTATAAGCTGATATTAAAATAGTTGCTTTTCTTACATCTAAGATGAGACCATGAAGAAAGGTGCCTGAGAATACTTTGGAAAATAGGAGGAATTGGAGAGTTTGCCCAGAATTTAAAATTCAGTACAAGTAAGCAAATTTGCATAATTAAGA